AAAATATAGGAACATTGCAGATAACGTTACTAACGTTAACGTAACGTTATTCTAAATGTGATGGTCAGTTATTTTACAGCATCTGTGGTTGGTGCTGTAGATACAGGGCAGAGGTCTGTACTGTAATAATAATTATATTTATATTAACTTTATTTCATACGTTTTAGTGAAGTCCAATAATTTCACACATATTATCTGATTGCTGCAATCACACATTGCTATTTTGCTTATTATTCTTTTTCTTCTTCCATACCATTATCTCTTGAACACGGTACTACAGAGTTCAGTATAGTGTTTGTTACTGTTGGCTGGACGCTGACTACAGTTCACTGAACAGCCACTGGTGGAGCTGTTAACAACGGTTCCCTATAAGTTACATAGAAGCTTTAAGGGCAACACCTTGTGTATGTCTGAAGTTCTGCTCTCGTGTCTGCACATTCATTTTCGAATCATTATTTTAATGGAACATAAACTTGGAGACGACCCATAATCCCCTGCAGTCCCTGAGTTTTCAACCTCTGAGGAACAGCGAGACATCCTCCAGCTGGGGGATGTTGTCCTCTCTGTAGCCGCAGTGTTTGCTCAGCAGCGGCAAGTTCTTCAGGTATTCTCTGCAGGCGTGTGTCGGATACAGTCTGGTCAGCTCTCTGAAGACCACCCCCCACGTCCTTATCTCCTCTGGGGTGTACTCGATACGAGGGATGGGTTGCCCGCTGGGGATAAGACAGACTATAAGTGGCACGGCCCTTTATTTGTGTTTCATTATGAAATTCAACTGATTGAATAATACTTACAATTTATAATTCATGGCCACTTCCACAAAGTATTTCCTCCTCTGACGATAAACATCATCTTTAAAACCCTGACAGGAAGGAAGAAGAAATAAAAGTGATTTAAATATATTCACATATAAAACAATCTCAGGAAGTGATTCACATCAGAATGACTGGAAGAAGAAGAAGTGATGATTTCAAACTTAATTTCCTGTTAAAACATTTAAATAAAAGCTGATATTAAGGATTAATATTGTTTGGTTTTAATAACCTAAAATGATTTTACATCCTGCAGTTAAAAACTAATTTTATAATATTTTAGAGGTTGATTTCACCTTTTTAGACTCTGTATATTTAAATTTGAATATTTTTACAGAATACACTCATGAACAAAATCTTAAGACCAGAGGAAAAATTACAAATATTTGCATTTTGCACTGGTGGAACGTAACCAGGTTGTAAGTAGAAGAAAAAACAGGAGCAAGAGACAAAACAATAGAGTAGGCAATTTATTGAAAACTGCATTTAAACTCAAACAAGTTGTTCATCAGCTGATCTGAAGTTTAAGACCATAGCCTTAAAAAACCTAAAAACAGAACTAAACTTGTCAAAAAAGGAGTCAGTAGTGAGTAGCTACACCGTGGCTGGTGGGAAGGCTGGTGGGAACGTTGGTCCATGTGGTGAAGATGGCTTCACGGAGGGCATTCCAGTCTGGAACTGACGTCCGTTTTTGTAAACTTCCCTTGCCATCCATCCCCAAACGTTCTCAATGGGATTTAGATCAGGGAAACACGTAGGACGGTCCAAAAGAGCAACGTTATTCTCCTGGAAGAAGTCCTTCGTCAGGCAGGCGTTGTGAACTGCAGCGATGTCCTGTTGAAAGACCATCATCACTGCACTGACGAGGGCCTCAGTAAGGAGGGATGCCCGCTGCAACATCTCCACATAGCCAGCCGCGGTTTGACGCCCCTGCACAACCTGAAGCTCCATTGTTCCATTGAAGGAAAAAGCTCCTCAGATCATGATGGAGCCTCCTCCCCTGTGCCGCCTAGAAAACATCTCCAGTAGATCTCCTTTTAATGCCATTGGAAGCCATCAGGACCATCCAGGTTAGATTTGTTCTCATCAGAGAATAAAACTTTGTTCCACCTTTCAATGTCCCATGTTTGGTCCCTGTTAAGTTCAACCAGCAGGTTTGTGGTGTGGGAGGAGA